CCGATACAATGGTAAATGTCATTCAACCAGGGCGCTCAATAAGTTAGATCTTGGCGAATATGTTTTCAGTGATTGGCAGAAGCGAGTATGACTGTGAATCTGGTATATGCCTGACACTTCTAATCCTCGCACAGATCAGTTGCGCAACGGATGAACCTTTTCATAGTGAGTTTGAAGTGTTCATGTTTTTTTTTGTGAATTCTTTCATGAATGGACGTTGTACCTAGAATTTCTGATGTCATCCCTTCAGTATGGTATTCCTTCACACAAGAAATTATCTAATATACTATTTCCAAAATTTTGCGCTTCACTTCCTCACTTTTTCTGTGATTTATCTTTCTAGGGCTTCTTGAGGGACATTCATCCTAAGTTTACTGTTTCATCATCGCTCATTTCCGGTTTTCAGTGTCTGAGCACTATGTAGGCGGAACCCCTAAAGTCAAGTTGTTGGACAAGTGTGCGGATGAGATGATACTGTCTATGATTCATTGGTATGCATTGTTATGGCGAACTTTTTCGCAGTGAGTATGCTTTTCAAGAATTATCCAGGTGTGAGATGGATAATGTATTATTTCCCATGCTGAGCAGTATATCTATGCTAATGGACACGTTGCGAGCGAGAGTCAAGGACTTGAAGTACGTAATTGAGCAAGAATTAATGCACATTCATTAAAGTTTGTATTTGAATTAAATTTATATTTCCTATATCGCTTGGACTTTTTTGTCGAGCCAATTCAATCTTATTAAAATGTTATTTTGAGTTTACGTATGCTAAGAACGAGCAACGAATCTTTTTAGAAGGAGACCATGCTTGAACATAAAAGAGAACTTTCACTTTTTTTCCTGTGCAGTCATTCACAAGTTCCCTATTTGCATGACATGATGTTTATATTTCAAGCTTTGAACCCAGCCGGGTTGTGGACTCGACCAGCTATCGGCGTGAGTATTTGATGGTAATGCTGAAAGCTGTACAGCTCATTATCTGTGAAGAGGACTGGGTCACTATGAAGATGTTTAAAATAGCTGAAACAAATAATATGGAAGCTTTCAACCATGGCCGCCTGAAGCAGAATTGTCTTGTGAGTTACTTTTCTGAAACACTCCCTTCTATCTCTTCACCTCACAGGGTCAACAATTATTGCGACTTGGTATTCGCCGACGAAGCGAACGCGAAGTTGTTCGGGAGTTGTCTGTGTGTAATGGGAAGTCAAAAAAAGCACTAATTGATAAGTTGTTATCAGTTTTGAATATATGGAATATGAGAGCGACTTTATTTGACCTTATGCTCATGATCAAGGAGGTTAGTGTCATTTTTTTCCTCAAATATGAGATTATATCTCAA